TCCATCTTGACGATGTCGTTTTGTATATTTGCCATCTTCATCATCTCATTCATCTTCGTCTTCTCATTCATCTTCGCGATCTCTTTCGCCATCTCGTTGATCTGCGCGAATTCAGTTAGTTTTGTGATATCGTTATTGTACTTTGCCATCTCTGTCATTTTCACCATCTCGTTCAGTTTCGCTATCTCGTTCATCCTTTGCACCTCGTTGATCTTGGCCATCTGAGATATCTTCATCATCTCATTCATCTTTGCCATTTCATTGATCTTAGTGATGTCGTTATACTTGGCCATCTCGGAAAGTTTCACCATCTCGTTCATCTTGGCGATCTCCTGCATCTTCATGTATTCCGTGGTCTTGGAGTATTCTGCCATCTTCTCCATTTCATATCTCTTCGCCATGTCCTGTGACATCTTGTTCAATTCAGAATTCATTTTATTAAACTCTGCGAGTTGAGCCATTTGAACTATATGCTCAGGTACTTTTCCCCTCTCCATCATTTGCTTCAATTCCGCGGATATTTTATTCATATTCATCTCGGACATCTGGGCTATTGTAGTGGAATCAGGAACGGGCATCTTGGACAGCTCGGCGATCTTGGAAATCTCCCTCGCGAGATTCTCATCGAGGCAACGCTTTTTCTTGGCACGATGCCTGGCCATTCGTTGAGCCTCCTGCATTCTCCTTAATGCCGCTTGTTCCTCAGTTTCCTTGGCTCTAGCGTTTTTCATTATCTCCGCAGCCGTATATAATCTAACAGCACGTTCCTCCCCTGTCTCTGACATCTATAATTTCGCATTTCCTTCACTGTTTCAGAGCAAGATTCTTTTCCAGTCTTGAACTTAATACATGACACAAATGACATTGATTCTGTCCCTCAAGTGCTTTGTCATTTTCAGAGTAAAATTATAATATTTAAAATGGTCTAAAATTAATAAAATAGAATAAATATTGCAATCATAAACAGCTTATTTTTCCAATTCTCTCGCCACTTTAACAGTACTCTTTGTTTAGTTCATGTGTGCTATAATTCGAGAAACTTGAGTCTATCGGGCATCTGAAACAAATTGTAATCATGTTATAAAGATAGTAATGAGTGAGTGAGTGAGTGAGTGAGTGAGTGAGTGAGTGAGTGAGTGAGTGAGTGAGTGAGTGAGTGAGTGAGTGAGTGAGTGAGTGAGTGAGTGAGTGAGTGAGTGAGTGAGTGAGTGAGTGAGTGAGTGAGTGAGTGAGTGAGTGAGTGAGTGAGTGAGTGAGTGAGTGAGTGAGAGAGAGGGGGGAGGGATGATAAAATATGATTATCCGAATATATTCACAGAGATTAAAGCAATTGAAAAATACAGACAATGGAAACAACCCAGCAAGCGAGAATGGATTGAAATGGATTAAAATGGATTCAAATTTCCAGAAATACGGATTCATGAATGTTAAAATAAATCCTTTTCAATCCTGAACACATTTTTATTCATTTATACGAATTGCATAGAGCATATCTATGCCTTTCAAAATATTCCAAAAATAATATTAGCATTTTCTGTGCATCATGAATACTACTCAATTCAGAATTATGAATAGAAAATACAGTTTTTTAAATTCAGTTAAATTCAAAAATAATATCAGCAATTTCTGTGCAACGTGAATACTGCTCAATTCAATATTCTGAATATGAAATGCTGTTTTTCAATCTAATTGAATAAAAAAAGTTTTTATTTAAAAATGGATCATAAATGCTACTTAAATTATTTAAAATAATTATAAGTAGGAAATTTTTCATTTTAATCCAAGTTCAAAAAAAATTGTAACGTAAAAATAATTGAGCTATGTTCATTTGTTTATCTTTGATTCGAAGTAAAATGAATGATCGATGAGTGAACACTCGCAAATTAAATCGAACATAGCCCGAATATTAGGCTAATCACGGCGCACGACATCGGCCAAGTGAGAGATTAAGATTATCCGACACTTATCCAATATTGTCTCAGTAATGTAAATTGTTGATATTTTATTATATTTGTCAAATGATACTATTTTTATTATATCTATATAATTGTTACTAATTTATAATTTGTTACTAATTTAGCTGATTGTAATTGAAATAGAAAATGAATAATATATTTAACAATTGATGAAGTAGTGTAGCGGGTAACGTAGAAGACTCATAATCCACAGGTTCCAGGTTCGAATCCCACTAAGATGCGTTTTTTAATATCAATTTGAAGTAGTTAATTTCAGATATAATTATTATAAATGTCTTAGGAATAAAATTTATCCTAAAAGATGAAAGTTTGTTTTTTTGAATATTAAACTTAGTGTCAGTTCGGATTCAATCCATTCAATCCATTTTCATGGATTTAAAGTATGCATTAACAAAATTTTAATCTATTTTAATCCATTCTTGTTTGCTGGGAATAGATTTCAATCTAATCAGAAACCACGTATACCAGAATACACAATTTCTAAAATCAGTTTTAAATTAGTTGCAAGTTTGTTGTGACAGCCAATCTGAAGCTTGCATTTTGAAATCAACACTTCAGATTGGCTGTCAGCTTGCAACAAATGTAGAATCGGCTTAATAGGTTAAAACTTAACTGTCAGTTTCTGTTTCTATTGCTTGTGCCTTTCAGTACTTTATGTCTCAGGCTAAATTCCATATCACATTAAGCATTAAGGATTGCAGATTACGAATTGAAGATTAAGACTCAGCCAATCAGAACAAAATGGATTAAAATTAAAATTATTGAATTAGTCGAATTCGAATTCATAATTCTCAATCTTTAATGTATAATATGACATATGATGGGTTTTAAATCGTGCGAGACCTAACCTCCTAACGAAAGATACGTCAAACACAAATGGGATCACAATAAAATGACTAAATTGACACAGCTTATAAGATGTCATTGCATCGTTATCGAAAACTGTTAACATCCAATATCCGACGAATCATATGGATAACTGAGATCCGGAATCTGCGATCTCATTTAAGAAAAGTACAAAGGATATCGGACGACGAGTTTTTTTGAACTTACGAACAATTACGTTCGAAATTATCGCATCATCCCGGAAATCTTCGTCGTTGTCTCGGTCTACTGCGTCTCTTCGTCGTATCTGCGAGCTGCATTGCCTGGTATATGTGCTAGTAAGTGCGTACGCGCGCGACGCGGCCAGGCAAAGGATAGGAAAAGTTTGAAAAGAAATGAGCGTCCGCGTCTTTCGCGTCTGAGCAGTGTTGTTAGACGACCCGGGTTTCAGAGGCATGCGCGTCCAATGTAGCTTCAGTGACGTACCGGTTACTAATAAATAGGAGATCATTAGGAGATCATAGTCGCCTATGTAACATTTTTTCAAAAATGTTGAAAATTTTTAATATATTTTACACATTTTACATATGTTTATTTTATATATATTTATATTATATATACCCAGCAAACGAGGACGGATTGAAATGAATTGAAATGGATTCAGATTTTCAGAAATATTGATTCACGAAAATGAATGCTTTTCAATCCTGAATGCATTTTTATTCATTTTAAGAATTGCATGGAGCATATCTCTATGCCTTTCAATCTAAAAATAATATTAGCTTTTTCTGTGCACAACACACACATTGTGAATATTGTTCGATTTCAAATTTTGAATAGGAAATGCAGTTTTTCAATCCAATTGAATCCAATTAAATAAAAAAAAAAGTATTTTACACATATAAAATATTTTTGTAACTATTTTATCTTTTATTTTATTTTTAATTAATTTTATCATCTCTAAAAAAACTAACTTAAGTCAAGAAAAAATATGATTTGAATGTGAATTCAATCCATTATCAAATGCTCGATTCGCTATTTAAAATATGCATTCGGATAGAAAAAAATTTCAATCTATTTTAATCCATTCTCGTTTGCTGGGTATATAGAAATATATTATATATATTTATACATATGTGTGCGTAAACTATGTGTATGTAAACTATGTAAAATATATTAAAATTTTCAACATTTTCAACTCTAAGCAACTAATGATCTCCTATTTACTAGTGATCGGTACATTACTGAAGCTACATTGGACGCACATGCGTCTAAAACCCGACTTGACGTCTAACAACACTAGTATTGTACATTGGAGTTATTGGATGCGCATGCGCACGCACATAAGACGTCGTCTTCTCGTAGAGTATGTATACGCATGTATGCATGTATGTATGCGTGTATCGGCACGTATATAGTATATACACGTGCCCTCGCTCTCTCGCTTGCTCTCGCTGTATGATCCGATCCCCGACGGTGCTGGATGGCGCTGGACGGCGCGGCTGATCGACAACAATGGCGGACGTGTTTCGGTCGATTCGTTGAAACGCGCTGGCCACTCACCTTGGCGAGAGATCGGCCGGCCACAGGTCTGCGACACCCATCCGCGGACTCCTCGACGAGTGCCGCGTTCGCCGGTCCGCATCCCACGTCGATCCGCGCGGATCTTACCCGGTTTATTCCGCGAAACAGATGCACAAAGGCGGGTATCGCCATACGACACGTAAGATTTTCGAGACGGAGGACGGAGGAGCCACTTTAAGGGGCCAAGCGGGGTCGTCGTCGCTGCCGTCGCCGTTACCACCGCCGCCGCTGCCGCCGATAGGCTGCGTGTGACGTGGTTGCGTTTATTGACCATAACCCCTTCCTACTATCTTCCGCAACCTCGCGACAGACAGGTGTATGTACGACCTGCGAAACTATTGACTTCTTAGTCGCGTGGTCGCGTCTTAAAGGTCACAGTTGCCACATCGCGCGTTACATGTCTCGCGTAAAGACATCGACAGTGGCCGGATGGAGGGAAATCGAGAGATAGAGTGAGACACTTTCGGCTCGAATTGAGACGGTTTGCTACTTCGCGTTGGAAAACGAGCGGCTGATACGTATTTTTCTCAACGTTCTCGTAACGTCGAGATTAGGTAGTTTAGGAAGTAGAGGATTTACATTTTCAAGAAAGACAAAAAGATATGATGGCACATCGCGCAATGTCTCGTGAAACTTGTGTAACCGATGTCAAATAAAATGTACATATCTGCCTTTAGAAGATTTAAGGAAATGTAAGCGTTTTAGATTATGTTTAAATCGTATAATTAACGCGAAGAATTTATGGATTCTGCAGAGTGATTCATAAATGTCAATATTCAAAGAATAAAAGACAAGGACAACTTCCACTTTTTCGCGATCGTTTTATTTCTACATTTTCTTATATATTTTTCTTAGGGTTGAGTAAGTTAACTTTTTTTTTTTAACTAAATTAAGTTGAAGTTAACAGCTCTGAAAATTTAACTTGGTTTAAGATAAAAGTTAATTCATAATGAAATTACAAGTTAATAAAAAAAGTAATTGAAGTTAAAAAGTTAAATTTGGTCTGAATGAAAAAAAAATTGATCGTTTTATATAATTTTTCATATTTTTCCTTTCTCTCAATATATTCATCAAAGAATTACTAGTTATTTTTGTTCACAACTAACGATTGTACAATATAAGACAAAATTAAAGTTAAGATGAATTAACTTTTTAACTTTTTAACTTTTAAGTCTCTAATTTAGTACTATTTCAACCTTGATTTTTCTTCATAGAAATAAAAAATTATGATAATAATGCTCCACTCAAGGAAAAATTGATTAAAATAAAGAATCCTTATTCATAAACATGCACTGTTACGAAAACATTGTCAGTTATGTTTCAAGCATTTAAAAATTAATTCAGAATTGTTGATCCAACTGAAGGAAAAGACTTAAGAAAATATAGAAATAGAACAATCTCTGAATAGTCGTAAAAAATTGCACTCCCTTTGTTTTTTCCAAAAATTTACACAAATGTAATTTTTGAATTGTTGAAGGTAAAAGAAATTCAAGAATCCGAGTCGCAACACAGTAATTATAAATATAAAATCGAATTAAAATCATATCAGTAGCTCACATCGAAACAAGAAACATTTTTAATCTTCTAATAATTTAGAAAAATTATAGTGTATATGTATATTTCAAATCTTTTTTTATTTGATATAAATTTACTTCTTGAATAATATATGATTTTGAATCAATCTGTGTAGTTTTTAAAAAGTCAACATTTGTAATTGGCATAGTCAAGGTTCAATAGAAAGTAGATAAAATTGTAAAAATAAATATATTTTTCATTGTACAACAAAATACTTTATTTTTGTTTCAGGTTCCGCGTATATAGATTTATAGTATATTAAATAAATAACAGAACTTTAGAAAATTGATCAATAAAGTATCAGCTAAATATTATCATTCGACATGTACATATCATCCTATGAATACTATTTTCTGTTACTGTTAGTCATTCTACCTGTATATCTCTTTTTTAAACTTTGGTCATGGCTTGGATGGGAATTATTTGTGAATAATTAAAATTTGACATTACTAAAATATAAGCTAAATGATGTCACCAAGTTGTCTATGTACACATATACGCACGCACGCACATGTACACACACACATACAAATTGTATAGAAAAATCTCGACATATTTTCTATAATGCAATTATGCAGTATGTCTACATATATTCTGTTAAATTATTTTCGAGTTTCGTTAACAATATATGTACATATACATACCTGAAATTTGTATATGACAAAATATGTAAAATGTAATAGACACTACCACAAATCCTAATATGATAAAATTCGCAAAAAATTCTGAAAAGTTCTAAAAAAATTAAATTTTGTTAGTGATTAAAAGTTCATCCAATCCCATTTTTCCACGATGCCTCCATATCCTGAATCTAGCAACGTCTTTTCGAGTGATAATACCAATTACCTAGATGAAATATATAAATATATAGAAATTAAATGCAGTTCTCATAATAGATTGCAAAATGTATATTAATTAGTCTCTTACCTCGTTAATATCATTTACTACTGGTACATGACGTAATCCTAACGCTCTAAAGAGTCTGAATGTTCTTGGCAGTGTGGCAGACTAAAAAAACAATTATGAGCCTAAAATCCACTTTGATGTATCAAAAAGATCTTAATATAAAAACTACTAACGTGTTGTACTGTATAAGGAGAAGGATTCATAAAGTGTCTCAAATCAATTGTGTAAGTTTTTTCTTCATCAGTGATGGCGACTTGCTCGATGGTTGGATACCTAGGATACTCGGTTCTAAACATATTTATACTTAAAGGTCTCTCCCAAAATTCTTCGTACTCGTTAAATACCTTATTTTTTAAAAGTACTATTAATTGAGAACGCAGTATTAGACCTCGTAGTCGACCGTACGAATTTATTTCGGCCTGAAAGGATAATACAGTCAAAATAAATGTACAAAATTATTTGAAACAATTAATATTTGCTTATTACCTGATCGCTACTTGGTGGGTCAACTACCGGAAATCCATTGAATGTAACGCATTTCAAAAGTTCGACAATATGTCCGACATTTTCGACAGTTTTCAAAGTCACAACAGGATGACTCATTATCTCAGTTGCATAAATATTATTCGAGAGTGGAGGCGGTTCCCATGGAAGCAATGGAATTCCTGCCATTTGTATATGAATATCATAAATTCCCTAAAAGGTATATATTTTATTATTAAAAAACACATGATATATTTATAAGTGCAGCATACATTAAGAGACACGGTAGTATCTCGGATGTCAAGGCAATCAATAATTAATACTTACCTCATTAAAGAAATCGCCAATCCACTTTGCCATTATAAGGACTATTATAACAGGCAAACCAAAATATATTCCCTGAGTTGCTTCTATTAAGATTGCGGTTAAACTTATAGTCATTCTAACTACTCCTCCTAATTGCGCGGCAGCACCTAGTAAAGCATATTTGCCAGGATCTAATACTTCCTGCAATATAATTATATAATGTAACACAGCAATAATTTTATTTTGTACGCTATATCAGCTAAAAGTCTCTTTTCACGATTCTCACACAATATGGACACAGTTTCGCGAGAGCCGATCCAATTAATCTACCCCAAGCAGATCCAATCAATAGAGAGGGAATGAAAAGGCCACTTGACATTGATAGGCCGAAAGTCATGGCAGCGAGAAAAAAATACAATACGACAAAGATAGCTAGCGTCAGATCATTGTGAGCTCCTACAAATGCATAATTTATATTGCATTTGTCTTTTGATTTTATTATCATTGCTTATCGCAGGTTATATACCTTTAGGATCGTGAAATAAAGATCGTACACTGCTTTCTGGAGTTTGAAACCATAAAGAGGCGACCGCATTGTATTGCCCTTCTGCGCAATACATTTGAACTGGAAACTTGGTGGGATCATTACCCAATGGTTTACAGTCATTGACAAAGTATATCATTAGAGATCCCATCGTTGCGCTTAATATTGCCACCAGAAGAGCCTCGACGACTTTTTGCCACTTTTGTGTTACAAATCGCAAACGAAAGCAAGTAATTTTATAATTCACATAATTCCAAAAAGCACCGAGTAGTCCACCAAACGTGCCCATTAGCATGAATAGAGGTATCTCGTAGATTTTATATGGAATCGAGTTGAATTTTCCTAGATTCAATAAGCCGGGATACGAAAGATCTCCAGGATGTCCGTGGTAAGCGCTCAAGATCACGTTTAAAGTGAACGTAGTGATCATGCTGGCGAAGAAAGTTCTCCATGTGAGGCTTTGATTGAAAAAGCTAGTACCCTCTTCTATACTGAACAAGACTCCACCTAAAAAATGCAAAAAATGCGAATTATAAAATATATTTCTTATAGTATTAATTTCTTCATAATGTTACAACATATCGTAATATACAATAACACTAAACAATAAATTTTGATCAATATTTTGTTTCTCAAGAAGCAATAGATTTTTCTTGTAGGATTTCTTTTTACATTGAAAAAGGATGGGCTTTTCAAAAAATTCTATCACTCTTTAATTTTTAGGAACTCTTCTTTGAATTTCTTATGCAAATTTGTAATATATGTGGATAGTTTGATAAGTCTAAATCTTTATAAGATAGTGCCACGATCCATTTAATGACATGACACCTGGAAAGTATTATTCTTCAAACGTTCAGACTCTTCCAGGTCAAATTTCGGCCAGAATTGATGCGTTTTTCACGTTTAGTAGTTGTTTAAAACATAAGTGAGAAATTAAGCAATTGCCATGTATAAAAATGAAAAAGAAAACGAGTTTCGTACAAAATTACTGAATTGAACTTTGAATTGATTCCTTATCCATCTTATTCTTTGAATTTAGAATAGAATGAGGAATCATCGAAGCCCCATTCTATAATTTTGCACAGAATTCATTTTTTTTCCATTTTTATATGCAATCTCTAAATTTCTCACTCGCTTTAAAAACAAACTATCGAACGTGAACAACACACCAAATCTAGCTGACATTTGGCCTGGAAGGATTTGAAGAATGATTTTTCAGGTCTCACGCTATCAAATAGATTGTAATCATCTTATAAAGATTTATCAGACTTATCAAACCATCCATGTAGCTATATACGAAATTTAAATTAACTAAAAGAAATATCTCAAGTTATATGTTGGAATAATATATCTATATGTATTTTGAATAAATTTATTTTAGATATATAAGACTGCGCAGATTACTTTCTAGAAATTTAAATAGTTTTGTTGTAATATATGAATAAATAATGTGATGGTGAGAAGTCTTTTATTATTTATACAAACATTTATACAAACATTATGTACAATTTTAAGTAATATAAGTAAAAGTTATTGAATAATTCAATGTAAAAAAATTTTAATTGATGTGGTTTCTATTTCTTAACATCTGAATAATGATTCTTATTTTACTCCATAAAGTAAAAGAAAAAAAAATTGCAAATTATTTAAATTTGTGGAGTCTTATTAAAAAAGAGTTTTATTTAAAAAATTCTTGATTTCTCAAAAAAAATGTGGATGAAACTTTTTAAATTTTATATTCTTGTTCGACAGTTGAGAATGTACGAGTCATTCAGGTGTCGAGGAACAGAAACCTTGTAAATCAGTATAATTTATAATAAGGATAAATCAATTCTAAATTAACAAAAAACTAGTTTCTCATTAAAAATAATGTGCACGAAATAGAACATTACACATATCCATTAATATTTAATAGTACTTACCGATGGGTGCTCCGAAAGCCGCTGATACTCCAGACGCAGCGCCTCCGGACACAAACTCTCGTTTCTCATGATCCTCTCTAAAGTATTCAAATATTTTCAAGTCTTTCTTAAAAGTAGTACTTTTACCCTGAGAAATCCCTGCGGCTATGACGGCACCAGAATGGATCATAGGACCTTCCTGAAGTATACGAGATGTGAACGATGCTGACAAATGAAAAAAACGATGATGAACTATTTACCTTGCCTCCTGCTAAGCCTCCGACTACAGTGCATATAACTCCAATAGTTTTCACAGCCAGAGTTTTAATACGTACAACTCGTGGTATTTTGACTCCGTTTAAATAACATTTCACTTGCGGAATACCACTCCCTGCAGCAACAGGTTCAATATAGGATACTAAGACAGCACCTATGAAAACTGGTACTATATTTAGCACTAACCACATCATGTATGGTAACCAAAGGCAATCTTTCATCACACACTGGTCCACATCTATCAACACGAAGTTCGCATATTATTTTATATATCATAGAACATGTTTATATAGATTAAATATGTTAGAAAACATACATTTCTTAAGCCAGCCATATTTTAGGCTGGATAATTCCTCTATTAGTACGTCTACAAAGCATGCTATGAGAGCAGTACAAATTCCGATTAAGAGAAAGATAAACCACCTGGCGAAGTTCTTTCTAACGATAAATTTGTATCCTTTCTTTCTCTCCTCATCTTGTAGAAGATAATTTTCACAAGGGTCATAATCCAGACTCTGAAAAAAAGATGCTATTAATTTATTTACCAAGCAAAGACAAGATATATAATACATATAAATGAAATACAGTGTATTAAAACATAAATACACGTGTTTAAACAGGATCAGAAGGTGCTTGCAATCAATTCACAATTAAAAGTTCATCATGAAGCAATTACCTCATAATTAGTTGATAAGAAATTAGTCGCTCCTGGGGTTATATCCCTGATATGTAGTCTTTTGGATTGACCTGAGATAGCCTCTATATCACTGCATGTTATGTTAATGTTGGCGATGCACTGTGTTGACACAATAAAGTCAATACTTCTAGGCTATATTCAGAAATTTCACTTAGATATACTCATGTATCATTTTATCTTTGTTTAATATTTTGTGAACAACAAGGTTAAAATGATACATGGAATCATGGTGGAAGAATAAAAGCCATATGATTTTCTTCTACCATGCATGGAGCCACTTAAGTGGTGTTTCCAAATGTAATCCTAGAAGTAAGGCT